CATCTCTCCATTTCTCCTTTATGAAATATGCATGGAGAACAGATGTCGCCTTCTCCCGGAGCACCCCCACCCTCCTCCTCCCTCCCTCCCAGCCCACCACCTCCATCCACCCTCCAGGACCACATCCAACCTCCACCTCCCTCCTCTCCCGGGGGCTCCAACCTCCCGCACAGCCAATGGCATCCCCTCTCTTGACTTTAATATTTATGAGGGGGGGAGCAGCAGAGCGGCCAATGAGGCGGCCAGGGTCGGGCCGGCGTGCAATAGCGCGTGGGGCACATGCCGCCTTGGGGTGTCCATCTCAACGCGCGGTGACCCGCGCGTACTCCTGCCCGAGGAGTAGCATGCCTGGGCCCCAAGGCTGCTGGCGTTTCCCCTGACCCCCCAGGTCCATCCCACCGAGCGGGACGCCGTGCGCACCCAGGAAAAACTTTCTGCCTCTTCAATGGACAGATGAGCCAAGCGGTTCCTCGCTCCCTGGATTACTTTGAGCATCATCTTGCTGGAAAAGCTGGAGCCTGGGAATGGTCATCGGCTTGGGGGTAAGGTGGCAGTCCTGGGGATGGGTGAGCTCCTGGGTGTCGCGGCAAGGCTTGGTGCTGCTGAAATGGTAGTGTGGGGAGAGGGACGGTGAGATAAGCACGGGGAGGTAGCTCTCTGCACAAAGCCGCAGTGCTCTGGGGAAGGGGGCTTGACCTCAGTGCGGGGTTCCCGCAGGCACATCCTTCGCCCTGGGCTTGGTGGTGGCGTGGGGGATTTCCGACCGGGAAAAACAGGAACTTCCAGTCTGATGGCCTGAAAGTGGGTCCCAGACACACTTTGTGTGGCCAGGGGATCTTCCAAAATGGTTACATCATTGGTCTGGAGTGCAAGGAAAGGGCAAGCGAGGAGGGGGAAGCGTTGCTTGCCACTGGGGGTTCAGGCATTACTGGGGGTTTGCTGAAGGCAGGGCTGGAGCAAGTGTAGGTTTAGAAGAGGTTCTAGCAGTAGATGAAATTGGGAAGACGGTGGTTTACAGTTCATCTGAAGGAAAGAGAGAAAAAAGCCACTTAGAGCACAAGTCACCCACGGGAAGGAAAAGCTTTTTTGAGGAGTGGAATAACCCCGTGAAGGACCAGTGGGATAAGGAGTTTATTTGGGTCCAGTACTGAAACTTGTCTTCATGCGAATGGTCCGGCATCTCCTGCTGACATCCTTCTGCATCTGAGACCCTGTGCAGGACTCCTGCCTCCCGTGTTTGGTAACCTTAAAGTCGCTGGGACAGCAACAGCCGTGTGTCCCGCAGCCTGTGCCCTCTGCGGACAGGGCAGAGCAGGGAGCAGCTCCCGGGCTGTTCCTGGGCAAGGTCACCCGCCCCGTCTGCCCGAGGAGGAGGTTTCGCAGCCTCCCCTGCTCCAGGATGAAGTGACACTCGTGCCTCGCTACTGGTGAGGTGGTTGTCTCCTTCCCTGTCCTGTGCTGAAGCGATGGGGGCAGGAGGGAGCGGCTCCGTGGTTTCTTGCTGAGGT